CCCCCCCCCCCCCCCGCGCTCTCTCGTTCCTTCTTCCCTCATTCCCCGCAGCCCCGGCTCGACCCCCGAGAACGGCGGCGCACCGGGACCGGGACCCTGCCGAACACCGGTGCTCCCCGGTTCGGCCGCGGGGACACCGGCTGCCCCAGCTCCCCCCGGCCCCCGGGATCCCCGGTGACGTCACGCGGCACCGGCCGGGCCGCGCTGCGCAGGGCCCGGGGGCGACACCGGCTCCGGGGGCGGCGGGGGGAGAAGGGGGTCCCGGTGCGGGGGGGCTGTCCCGGTGCTGCCGCAATGGAAGGGGGGGTGTCCCTTCCCGGTGCGGGGCAGCGGAGCTCGGTGCGGGGCAGCGGAGCTCGGTGCGGGGGTTCCCCGCCTGGTGGAGGCACCCGGGGTTTGGGAAGGTCCCGGTACACAGCCGGGGGTCCCGGTGCAGATGGCCCGGTCTCAAGGGGTCCCGGTACAGATCCGGGGATCCCTGTACAGCCATCCCAGCCCCGTAGGGGGTCCCGGTGGGTCCCGGTATCCCCGTCCCGGGTCCCGTCCTGCGCGGTGCGTACCTTGGTGGGGGGCGGCGGGGGCGGCCCTCACCAGCCCCGGTGCCCGCCCGGCCCGGTGCGCTGCGGTGCCGGTGCCGGTGGCGGAGCCGGGCGGGGCGCAGGTGCTCCCGGCCCCGCGTGATGTCAGCGACCGCCGCCGCCCCCTCCGCCACCGGGGCCGCGCCGCCATTTAAAGGGACCGCCGCCCTCCGTGGGGTGGGAGGGGGGATCGCGGGGGACACCCCCCTTAAACCGGGGCCGCGCTGCGGGACCCCCGGCTGTCCCCGCTGCGGGGACACCCCGGGGACTCCGCTCCTCCGTGGCGAGCAGACCCCGTCGCCGGGGCTCACCGGCGGAGCAGTGGGGGGCGGGTGGGAGTTGTGGGTGGTCCTGGTACCCTCGCGGGGTGTCCCCCAGTCCCGCACTGGGCGAGCTCGGGCCAGAGCGGCCCCCCGGGACCCCGCGGACAAAGTGGCAGCTGCCGGGGCCGGGCCGGGCCGGCTCTTTGTGCTGCAAAATGGTGGAGCTGGAGCTGCAACTACGCGGGGGGGGAACGACGGGGACTGGGACAGACAGACGGACACAGGGCTGGGCAGCGACACAGGACCAGCATCTGCCACCCCCCGGGCTGTCCCTGCAGTGCAGGGACGATGCTCCTATTCCGGGGAGGGAGGAGGGTCTCCCCCACTCCTGGAGACCCCATAGGACAAAGGGCGACTCTTCCCCTCCTGGGGAGCCCCCAGGGCTGGAGGGTCCCTGCACTGCTGGAACAGCTGAGACAGAACCCAGGACAACTCCATGGAGGGGATCCTGGGGTAGCCAGGACTTGGATCCCTCCAGCCCCCTGAGAGCAGCAGCCACAGCACACAAAGTCTGCGAACGTTTTCACCGATGTTTTATTGGAAATGTTAAATACTGGGGGTCCGGCCCCAGCGGAGCCGGGGGTGGGGGTATTCAAGGGGGCTCAGGCGTGCTCCTCTGCCAGCTTCTCTGCTTTGGCCACTGCCTCCTCGATGGGCCCCACCATGTAGAAAGCCTGCTCAGGCAGGTGGTCATATTCACCTGGGGGGACACACCGTGTCAGGGGGGAGTGGGAGGCCCAGTTGGGCTCTCCCAGGCCCCCCGAAGGCCACCTCACCTGCTAGGATCTGCTTGAAGCCCTTGATGGTCTCTTTCAGTGGCACCAACTTGCCCATGTGGCCAGTGAAGACCTCGGCCACCTGGAAGGGCTGGGACAGGAAGCGCTGGATCTTGCGGGCACGGGCCACGGTCAGTTTGTCCTCCTCGGACAACTCATCCATACCCAGGATAGCAATGATGTCCTGCAGTGACTTGTAGTCCTGGGCAGGGGCACACAGGGGGTGAGTGGCCAGTGCTGGTCCCCCACCCCAGCACCCCATGGAGGGGCTGCCCCAGCCCCCTCACCTGCAGGATCTTCTGCACACCCCGAGCCACGTCGTAGTGCTCAGGCCCTACAATGTTGGGGTCCATGATACGGGAGGTGGAATCCAGGGGGTCCACGGCTGGGTAGATGCCCAGCTCAGCAATGGCACGGGACAACACCGTGGTGGCATCCAAGTGGGCAAAGGTGGTGGCGGGCGCAGGGTCAGTCAAGTCATCAGCCGGCACATAAATAGCCTGGGGACACAGAGGGGAGGGGACAGTCGTTCCCAGGCAGGTGACACAGGCCCCCGGGACACCCTGGAGTTGGTCCTGCCCTCACCTGCACCGAGGTGATGGAGCCCTTGCGTGTGGTGGTGATGCGCTCCTGCATGGTGCCCATGTCAGTGGCCAGCGTGGGCTGGTAGCCCACAGCCGAGGGGATTCTGCCCAGCAGGGCGGACACCTGTGGGAGGACAGAGCATGAGAGACGGAGCACAAGGGGCTGTGCAGGTAGGGAGCAGTTGCAGCCCCGGTGCCCAGCACAGACCTCGGAGCCGGCCTGGGTGAAGCGGAAGATGTTGTCGATGAAGAGCAGCACGTCCTGACCCTCCTGGTCCCTGAAGTACTCGGCCACCGTCAGCCCCGTCAGGGCCACCCTGGCACGGGCACCCGGGGGCTCGTTCATCTGCCCGTAGACCAGGGCGACCTGTGGGTGGGACGCTGGGGTCAGCATGGTGTCACTGCCACGCCTGGCACTGCATCAAAGGACCCAGAACCTCCCCAGGGGACCCAGCACCCCCTCAGGCTCTCTGCACACCTTGGAAGTGGCATCTTTCAGGTTGATGACCCCAGACTCGATCATCTCGTGGTACAAGTCGTTGCCCTCACGGGTCCTCTCGCCCACGCCGGCAAACACCGAGTAACCACCGTGGGCCTTGGCCACGTTGTTGATCAGCTCCATGATCAGCACAGTCTTGCCGACACCAGCACCTCCAAACAAACCTGGGGTGGGGGAAATAAGGGTCCTGCTCAACCCCAAGCCAGCCTGGCTGCACCCAGGGTCTCCCTTCAGCTCTTTCCTCCTCAGATACAAAAAGCGTTGCTTCAGCAAGCTCAGGAGAACGAAAGTCATGGAGTGAATCATCAGTGAAGGAAAAGTTCCCCAAGGAACTGTTGGAAATCCCAATCAGGTGCCCACTCCCCAGACCCACCCCTGCTCTGGAGGTCACGTACCGATCTTGCCACCCTTGGCATAGGGAGCCAGCAGATCCACGACCTTGATCCCTGTCACCAGGATCTCCTGCTCGACACTCATCTCCACGAACTCTGGGGCCTCGGCGTGGATAGCAGCAAACCTGGAGCAGGAGGAAGAGAAGAGGGTGGGCAGCTGCTCTGAACCCCCAAGCCAGGCTAGCAGGGGACAGTCCCTGCTGTGACCCAGGAGAGCCAGAGCCACCTCCCTGCTCACACCTGGTGTGCCCTCCAGCCCCTCATCACTCACTGTTTGGTCGTGATGGGGCCCCTCTCATCGATGGGTTCCCCAATGACATTCATGATCCTGCCCAGGGTCTCAGGGCCCACGGGGATGCGGATGGGAGCACCAGAGTCCAGCACCTTCTGTCCCCTCACCAGTCCTTCTGTACCATCCATGGCAATGGTGCGCACGGTGTTCTCCCCTGCCGAGGCCCAAGGACAGCACAGTCATCACAGCTGACCCTGGGGACAGCTGTTGGTGGCTTCCCCAGGCCCTGCCAAGAGGACATTCTGCTGGGAGAAGGACCAAGAGGAGCAACAGGAATAAAATAGCCCCGAGGAAAATTGAGCCGTGCAGCCACAGCCCTCGGGCAGCCATTTTCCACCTCCTCAGATTGAAATCCGTGGCTTCAGCAAGCTCAGGAGAACGAAAGTCATTGGAAACATCATCACAGGAGGACCCCTCCCCGTCCCCTCCTTTCCCATGCCAGCTGCTCACCCAGGTGCTGAGCCACTTCCAGCACCAGCCGCGTCTCCCTGCCCTGCACCTCAAGGGCGTTCAGGATGGGGGGCAGCCCCTCGTCGAACTGCACATCCACCACGGCCCCGATGACGGCCACGATGCGGCCGGTGGTGGAGCCGGCCTTGGCGGCAGGGGCTGCATGAGCGGCATAGTCCCGTCCTGCGGGGAGAGGGACGAGTCAAGGTCGGCCAGGGCAGGGCAGCTCCGGGCTCCGTGGGCCTTGGGGGTGCGGAAATGGGGCTCCCCTGCAGGCCTTGGAGTGTGCCCGAGATCTCTGCACCTCCTTCGGTGCACCCAGGACCAGCTGAACTCCCTTCCTCAGCGAACCCTGGATCCCCATAGCTCGGTGCACCCCTGTCTTGATACACCCAGGACCTCTGGGTACACCCGCAGACCCTGCACGTCCCTCAGCGCACGCAGGACCCCCCTAAATCCCCTTCCCTCAGCGCACCCAGGACCCCCCGAACTCCCTCCCCCGGTACAGCCGCAGTCCCTGCAGCCCCTGAGTGCTCCCCCACGCCCATCCCCAGGGCCGCTGCTCCTCTGCCGCAGCCCATCCCCTCACCCTGCCCGCTTGACACACCTCACCCCATCCCGGTAACGGGAACCTGACCACCGGCACCCCGCGTACCCCACCCGCGCAGGCCCCAAGGTGACCCCGGCCCGCCCCGCACTCACGCGCCCCGACGGCGACGGCCGGGGCGGCCCCGCGGCCGAGGAGCAGCGGGAGGAGGTCCCGGCCCGGGGTGGCCCCGCGGGGCAGCAGCGGCCGGGCCGCGGCGGCGGCGGCGGCGGCGGAGGCGGCCGCGAGCCCCAACATGGCGGCGCCGACTGAGCCCCGCGTCTCGCCCGCCCCTCACGGCCCCCGCGGGGCGGGGCCACCGAGCTGCGCGTCACCGCCGCACCGCGCGCCCATTGGCTGTTCCGCCGAGAGGCGCCGGGCGAATTCGCGCTCCTATTGGTCACACAGATGCGGCGCCCGCTCTGCGCCTCCTCTCAATTGGGTTTTGCATCTATCCATCAAAACGCGCTGCGGTCTGATAGGGCAGCGTGGTGGGAAGGGGCGTGTCCCGGGCGAAGGTCACCGGAAGTGGCGGCGCACGTGTCCCGCGCTTGTCCTTGGGCGGGCGCCGTGACCGCGGCCGAGGCCGCGCCGGCCGCACCGGGCCCGCCTCCACCTTGTTTGCGTTTTTGCCCCACGCCGCGTCACAGCACCGCCCCGCGGGGCCGCCCCTCAGCGGGCCGGTGTCCGCCTCACGCCCCGGGTATCACTATAATGCCCCCGCGGCACCACGCTGCTGTCTCACAGAGGCCAAACCCTCACCTCCACCGCTCCCCCAGGGGACCGGGGACCACTGCACCATTTCTGCCCTACTCCCACCTTCCTGACTCCCCACCTGAGGGGAACCTGCCCCGCTAACCACGCTTGTTTCCAATAGGAAGGAAGGGATCCCAACCAGGGCCACACCAGGGGAGGGGAATCCCACCACAAGTGGCCCCCCATAGAAGGGGACCCCCACCCATAGAACGGGATCCCACCCTAAGCGTCCCCCAAGAGAAGGGGATCCCACTCCACCAACTCCCCCTGCTCCCGCGGCGATGAGGAATGCACAGGGCCCAGGCCGAAGGAGAGCCAGGGAGTCTTCAACAGTTTATTAGAAAGAATGCAGACATTAAAAAAATCCCAGCTGCTCTGAACATAAATTGAGGTTTTTCAGCCCGGTTCGCAGGCGCCCGCGCGCCCCACGGTCTGTCACTTGCTGCCAAACCCACAGTGCAAATACGATTTGGTCTAAATGTACAGATTGACAAGCAACAATGTACAGCCACTCGCACCCCGGGCGAGGAGGTGGAAAGGTCTGGGGTCACACGGGACCAGGGGCAGGCTCCGGCCACCGGCACCGGTCGGGGCTCAGGGGCGAACACCAAAACAAGGAGAATTTTTAACGTTTCCTTTTCAATACAAACTTTTAGTGGAACAGACCTGAAGACACCACAGAGGGATGCGCCTCGCCTGCTGAATTTGGGGAGCCAATGACAAGTTTTTTGTTCCCGGTACAAACGGACAATTTCAGGCCGTGGAGAGGGGGGGAAAAATGCTCGTTTACCACTCAGTGTTAATTCAGGGTTCTCCCATTGTAATTACATCTGCTACGAGGCAAGGAGGCTCTGTAAACTTTATTGCAACTGTTCTGAATGGATTGCCTACACCTCAATTGGGTTGGTTTGGTTTTGTTTGTTTTTTTTTTTTTGGAAGTCTGGAAAACGGTTCATGCATAACGTTATTGCCTCTCGTGGCTTTAAGACCGCCCCGTGCCATGGGACACACCTACCATCAGTGAAGCCATTTAAAATGGACTGAAAATGGGTTAAAGGATGCAGGATCTCCCTTTAGGGCTATCAACTCAGGAATTCTTATCTCAATTATGAAATGTTGTGATGAACTTCTTTCCCCAAAACCCTGAAGACGACAGTTTGCCTTACTCCAGATCCGGCATTTCTAGAGGGAAAAGACAGAAGAGTATTAGTGGTTTTCAGGTTGGTTTGTGGGTTTTATTTTTTGCTTGGTTGGTTCTTAAAAGCTCCCAGGGCACTATTATGTCACAAGGGACAGGAGCAAGGCGACCTGGCCTCCAACCAAGGAGGTCACAGGGCACTTTGGGGCTTCTGCCCTCCCCCCGGCTCTTCCCAAGGGAAAGCCGTGCCAGAGCCACCCTGAGCATGTGCTGCTCCTAAAGCCAAAGCCTCCCTGGGACTGCAGCTGCCTGGGAAGGTCAAAGTGGTATTTGGGGCTTGTGTGGAGAGGCTTTCTCAGATTAGATTTGTCTCCCAGGGCTGGCTTTAGCTGGTGGCCAGGATGAACATCTGCTGGCCCTGCCCGAGGCTGGCTCGGAGCCTTCAGCAGGTGTGTGAGGGGAAAACAAGAACAACAACTTACTTTCATCATCACTGTCTGGTGAGTCCTGGAAAGGAGAACAAACAACCTTTAAGTGGAGCAGACAGCTCCTCTACCACCCCCCAGCCAACAAAGAGCTGCTCCCAAATCTGGATTTTGAGGAACTCCAGGGTTCCAGGAGACTCAGTGAGCTCAGTGTGGCCTCACTGCAGCCCCACAATGATCCCCAGTCACTGCAGAGAGACACAAACAAACCGGTGCTCCCAGCATCCTCAGAACTGCTGAGGGGGAGAGAAGTGGTCTCCCCAGGTGACATCACAAGGTTTGGGGCTATTTAAGCCTTTTTCAGTGCTGAAGGGTAAGTGCAGGACTTCTGAGCCAGCCCTGCAGATGTTTCCTACACCCACATACTCACATCATCTGCCCCATCTACTTCTGGCAAGTCTACGTCGTCATCTCCTCCCATGTTGTTCATCATCTGCTCAGAAACAGAACAGCCACACTTTGGTGTGAATCCAACCCCACTCTCCACCCAAAACAGCTCTAAACCATCAGCCCCCTCCTGCTGGAACAGATCAGTTGCCCCCATGCAGGAATTACAAAGTGATGGTGCAAAAAAACCCTCGGATTCATTGCCCAAAACATTGAACTCCCAAAACTCCAGGAATTCGTTGTTCCCTACCTCAGAAAAGCGATCGAAGTTGGACATGTCTTCATCTGAATCATCTTCCCAGTCTTTCCAGTTGTTGAAGTCCACGCTGAGCCAGTTGAGCTGTACCAACACCAGGAGTTATTTAAGGACAAGGAATTATTTAAGGACAAGGGAGTAACTGGCTGTCAGTTAGAACAGGCAGGTTAACGAGAGGTGCTGTGGGATCAGGAGCAGGAAAGTGACCCAAAACTGCTCCAGAATTTGAACATGACCCAAATATTCACTACATTAAAAGCCAGGGGAGGCAGCAGATGCCCAGACCCACCTTTGCCCTCTCTTTTGTTAACCTTGGCCATGCCTGACCAGACTCTCCTTTTCGTAAACAACACAAGATGGATCTGTCTGTTCTTTTATGCTTTGATTCCTGAAAAAGACCAAATATTAATTAGTACCATCAGGATGACCTTCACCAGGAACTGCTGACATCCCTCCTTTATCTTCAACTCTTCCCTTAATCCTTGTCCTGGAAAATACCACCCAGAGAAGCTTTCCTGGATGTGACTTTGAGCTTTTATGTTCTACGAAATAATTTTCCCAAAATGCAGGGAGCAGCCTAAAGAACAGATAATATTTTTTAAGATCACAGAAGCACAGGATGGTTTGGGTTGGAAAGGACATTAAAACCCAAGTTCCAAATCCCTGCTGTGGGCAGGGACACCTTCCACTAGGCCAGATTGCTCCAACATGGCCTTGAACATTTGCAGGGATGGAGTATCTGCAGTTTCTCTGGACAATCTGTGCCAGCCTCTCACCAGCATAAAGAATTCGGGAAGAGTCAGGAGGATACTCACATTTGGATCGATATTATTAAAAAGGTCGATTTCATTTAAATGTTTAAAGTTATCGCTTCCTCCAAGACAACTGCAAGAGAAAAATGAATTGGTATTTAGCCCAAAAACATCTTGTAGAACCAATTTGCTTCTGCTCAGCCCTCCCTGTGCCTGAATTACTCACCTGAACGTGAGTTTGGACTTTTCAAAATTTACATTTACGTCTTTGCTGTCTTCAACACAGAACTCAATAAAGACGTAGTCCCTCCGGTCGTACCACTTTGCAGAGGCAGGCTGCCTGTGGGCACAGCAGGGACACAAGGGCATTGATTTTCAGCAAGAAATCCAGCAAAAAACCTTATTTCTGCTCCTAAAACCTGCATTTTGAGCTTAGTTATTCTTTAAAGCTGCTTGGAGCTGAAAAGAGAGAGCAGGAATAAAAAGAAGTGATGCATTCGGTGCATGACGCCTCCAGAAAGCTCCTGGGAGGAGTCACTGAAATCTGAGAGTGAAATAAATGTTTCAGCAGATCAAAATTTTGATAAACTTCAGGATGAGCTACTACAGACGGTGGGAGAAGCTTCACCACCTCCAACAGCTACACAGGAAGACTTCAGAGTGATTTTTGTCACGCAAAGTATTAAAACCTGAAGTAAAACTACCAAGAAAACCCTTTTTTGGGGTATTGATAGTATAAAAATGGATTTGCTATGATAAAATTCCAATTAAGCCAGCACAGGTCGGAGAATCACTGCTCCAACCTCTTTACAACCTCCCAAGAACTCACACCGGGACTCCCATGCACTTTGGAATTCTTCTGCCTTTGCACAACCACCTCAAAAAGCAACAGCGTGTCCAGGGGAGCCGGGAAAGCCACAAAGCTCTGGACCAACTCCTGTGTTTGCAGTTCCACCCCGAGAACTCACCTGCAACGCTCCATGCTCCGTGGAGCAGGGAAAACGACCTGGCTGGGCTCAGACCCCTCCTCCCCCCTTGCAGCCCTTCCCTGGCAGCTGAGGCCGAGCCCAGGGCACGCCTGCATTCCAGGAGAAGCAAACGGCCTCCCAGCAGAGCTGTTGCTAAGGCACAGAGGCCACGGGTGTTCCTCACACTCGTTTGTCTTCCCGACATCAGGGAATCATGGAATGGTTGGGTGGGACTTGAAAGTTCAGCCAGTGCCACCTCGTGCCATGGCAGGGGCACCTTGCACTAGCCCAGGTTGTTCCAAGCTCTGTCCAACCTGGCCTTGGACAGTGCCAGGGACGGGGAATCCTCTGGGAAATCCATTCCTGTGCCTCACCAGCCTCACAGCGGGGAATTTTTCCCAGCTGATGCCCCTGCATTGGGATGAGGTGGAAAGCTCCGAGCTGGACAAGGATCTAAACCAGGAAAGCTGATGTGACATGGCCCGTGACAGCAGCTGCCACCTCACCAAAGTGAGGCCCTTTGTGCTGCTCTCTAAGCCAGTATCTGACCAAAAAACACCTTTTCAGACCATTTATTAAGGTGATCTTTGCTAAACTTCCAGACCAAGATTTTGACTCACCTGGTCATCAATTCACTGTTGGCATTGAGCTGTGTGCACATTTAGCACAGGGACTCACCCAAAGGCTCCTACTGCTCCCATCCCCATTTCCTAGGGATGAACCCAACCATGGCACAGCCCAGCTCCAGCTGAACTCCAAAACAGCCACCTCTGAGCTCCCCCAGTGCCACACTGGTGCCAGCTCAGGGAAAGGCAGCAGAATGGCCACAATGCCTTGGGCAGCACCAACATCTCTTGTAGGTGCCATAACACCTGGGCAGAGACCAATGTCCAAGGATTTCATTTCTAAAAGCATAGGAACAAGTGGATTCTGAATTCAGCCTTGAGTTTCAGCTGTTCCAGGGGTAAAAGCCTGATGCATCCCCTCGTAGCAGCATTTCAGGCAGGTTAATTATCACCTTATTCAGGTGAAGTGCAGCAGCAGAGCAGCAATTTTCTTACTGTGGTATTTTTAAACCCATCTTGGACACAGATTTTCTCTTTTAACAGGGAATGAAAGACTCTCAAGAGGAAAGGAGGATGAGAAAGGCTCTGCTCCCTCTGTGCTGGGAGACAAAACCCCCCAGCGTGGGGCACTTGGAACGTGCTCCAGCCCCGTTATCCAACAGAAATCTCAGTGTCCCTGCCCGGATGACGCAGGGGCTGAATGGTGTTAACACTTCCCAGTTCTCAATGTCAATGGAGACATCTCCAGCCTTCCCAGGGAGCCGGCCCTGACCTCAGCATCTCTGCCAGGATCGGGGATTTGAGGCACCAACAAAACTCACAGCGCTTCCAGAAATCCCACTCAGCTCAAGGCAACGCACACGTGTCCGAGGTGGAGAGCAGTGAGCTCCTCGGTAAGTTTCACTCGGCCATAATTCACATTTCTGAACCTAAACCTGCGCTGCTTTCCTGGGAATTCACCCCGAGCACGAGCACAGAATGCACTGGAGCTGCCTCTCCTCCTTTTATCTGCTTTTCCAATCTCAACCTCCCAAAGGGAGGAGGGAAACCTCCCTGGGAGCTTCAGTCAGGACTCACCCGTTCCAACCAGTAATGCAGGACCCGCTGGAGAGCTGGGATGAGGCGGAAGCCACAGCTCCTTTTTGTCTCCTGCCCACACGGAGATTCCCAGGAGACAAGCACACACAGCAGCAGCCTGTGGGGAGCCCTGCACGTGCTCCCAGTGCTCCCAGTGTTCCCACACACCCATGGAAAATCTCCCCTCCCAGGCACTGACCCACCACCTGTTACGGAGCTCCACCCTGCTCACCCAAATCCCACGGGAGCTCAGCCTCTTGCCGAGAGTGTTTTGGTTATCCAGCACCCCCGTGGGATTTGGAAAAGAGAAGGGAATTTAAACGTGCTCCATCCTGGGTGGTTCCCAGTGCTCCGCTCCGGGGAGGATTTCCTCTGTCCCATCCACCTGTGTTTTGGGGACTTCCTGAGCAGCCACACAGCCACCCCTGCAGCTCCTCTGGCTCTTCCAGTCTCCACATTCCGATGGCAATCGTTTTTCCAGCACTGTGGAACAGGTTCTAGAAGCTTCCCAGCAGCACTGATGGGCAATGTGAAGGCTCAGCTACACCACAGAGCCCTCAAGGCTCTGCCTGATCCACGGGGGCTCTGTTGGAGATCCCTGGACATATCCTGGTCTCTGGCACAGCAGAAGCTTCTGACACGCTGAACTCACCAGTGGAATCTCAAATCTCCCCATCTGGGGCACTGAGGAAATTTCCAAACCTGTTCTTGTGTTCTCTGTCTGTATCCTGTGCCTACAGAACCCCATCTTTGTCTCCTGGAAGTACCCTGACAGTTCTTACTCCTGACACTGCAGGAGTCAGACCCTCAACAAGATTTTCCCCTCCCAGACACCAATAAAACCTGTTTTACAAAATGAATTTTCCTTTCATTTATACACCCTGGAGAGATGCTTTTTTTTTTTCATTTAAAAAAGCCTCATTTTAGATTTTAGATGATTCTCTGCAGACACAGCAGCGCTGCAGTTTCAGGATGATGAAATCTACAGAAATTACACGAAAAAACTCCAACTTGATCACAGTTCTCTCACTTTCACTTACGTTAAGATGAAGCACCTCCACTGTTCAGCGTTTCAGAAAAAAAGTAAAAGCCTAGCTGAGGACCAAAACCCACTGGTCTCCAATGGTTAACACAGTGCTCAGACCAAATTCCTGACAAAACAAAACCTCAGGAAGTGCAATGCCTCCAGTCCTTCCAGCCAGACACGTGGAGGTCACAGAATCATGGAATGGTTTGGGCTGGAAGGGACCTTGAAGCTCATTCAGCCTCCCCCCCTGCCATGTGCAGGGACACCTCCAACTATCCCAGGTTGCTCCAAGCCCTGCCCAACCTGGCCTTGGACACCTCCAGGGATGGGGCATCCTCTGAAAAATCCATTCCACTGCCTCACCACCCTCAGAGGGAGGAATTTTTTCCCCAATATCCCACCTAACTCTGCTCTCTGGAAGTTGGAAGCCATTTCCCCTTGTCCAGGGAATGCTGCCTGTAGCTCTCAGGGCAGTGCAGCTCTTCTTTCCCAGCCATTTTTCCCTCCTGAGCATCACCCTGCACACAGAAAACTCCAGCTCTTCTTTCCTGAGCACTGCGAGGGAACACTCACATCGACCAGAGCTCTGCCACGAGCTGGTTTTGGGTCGCTGAAGCGAGCCCGGGAGAATTCCAAGGAAGGAGGTAAATTAGGGCTCCCTGGCACGGCAGCCCAGACACCCGGGAGCGCGGGATTCCGCTCGGGATGCACGTGGACACACTCGGAGAGCAGATCCAGCGGCTCACCTGCACCGGGCAGAGCAGCACCACGGCTGCCCCGGGGGTTTCCATGCGCTTCCACCCCCTCCTGAGGGGTCTTTTCGCTATTCCTCGCTTTTTCATGCAATTCTGGAATGCCTGGGTTGGAAGGGACCTTAAAGCCCATCCGGTTCCTCACCACCTTCCACCACGCCAGGATGTTCCGAGCCCTGTCCAGCCTGGCCTTGGACACTTTCAGGGACAGCGCAAAACCCAGGGACGGATTTTACGTGGAAAATTGGAAGTTTACAAACAGGTTCGCTCGCCTGCACGCTCTGGATGGTTCCACGCGCTACTTACCGGGAGTTTTCCGCGGTTTCGGCCGCCACCGTTCGGCGGGTGCCGGTGGCCACGGACCCACCGAGAAACGCGCAACACGCCCCGAGCACCCCCCGCCACCCGCGCAGCCCCATTCATTCCGCGCAGCGCGGAGCGGGGACGGGAGATCCCGCCCGCATCGCGCTACGCCGCGGCCGAGCCAGTAACCGGGGCCGGGGCGCTCCGCCCTCACCCGGTTACCGGGGCCGGGCGCACCCGATAAGCGGGGTAAGACCCACCGGCGCGGCGGCGGGGCCGCCCAAGGTCAGCACGCGGCGGGAGCCCCCGCTCGGCGGCGCCGGGGCGGCTCCCGCGGTAGCGCCCGCGGCCCGGCTGGGCCTGGCGGGGCCTGCCCGTGCCGCTCCCACCCCCGGGCCTCACATGGCGGATGGCGACGGCTGTGGCGGGCGCCTCTGCGCGGTGCGGGTCGGGCTCCGGGCGGTGTCTCGAGCTGTACGGGCGGCGCGGTCGCGGTCGGGCGGTGCCGGGAGGGCTCCGGGGGCTCCGGCGGCGGCTCCGGTGGCTCCGGGCGGGCTCGGGGCTCGGCGCGGCCTCGCTCCCACAATGCCCCGCGCGCGCTCGGCCCGTGGTGACGCAGCAAAATCCCCGCGCCCCGCGCGCGCCGCCTCCTCCCGCCGCCGCCACCGCGCGTGCGCGGCCCCCCCCGGCGCGCGCCCCCGCCCCGCGCGCGCCCCCGCCCGCCGCCCTTCCAGTAGCTTCTCGCCGCGCATGCGCAGTGCGAGCAGTGACTGGGGAGGATGCGGAGCGGGAAGGGGACCCCCGGGACCCCCCAACTGTCCTTGTCCTGGTGTCCCCTGGGAGCAGAGCCCGACCCCACCCGGCTCTGCTCTCCCCTCAGGGATTTGTGGGGTGAAAAGGTCCCTCCTGAGCTTCCTTTTCTCCAGGCTGAGCCCCTTTCCCAGCTCCCTCAGGACTTCTCCAGACCCTTCTGCTGCTGCTCCAGCCCTTCCCCAGCTCTGGCCACGCTCCAGCCCCTCAATGTCTCTGTGGCCCTGAGGGCCCAGAGCTGGAGCCAGCACTGGGGGACAATCCTTGCCCTGGAGCTGTGCCCACCCTGTGCCCGGGACAGCCCAGGTGCTATCCTGTGCACACCTGGGCTCGTGTCCAGCTGCTGGCACCAGCACTCCCAGGGCCTTTCCCAGCCTTCCAGCCCTTCTTACCCCAGCCTGGAGCATTCCATGGGGTTGGTGTTACCTTGTTGACCCATTGGCCTCAGCCCATGGATCCATCCTGTCGAGATGGCTCTGCAGAGTTTCCTGCCTTCCAGCAGATCATTATCCCCAAGGCACTCTCAATCCCCTCACCCATGTCATGGATAAAGACATTACACAGGGCTGTCACTGACATGGCCATAACCCTGTGGACCCAGCCACCAGCCAGGTTTGAACCCCAAGGAGTGCACCTGTCCCAAAGGCTTTACTGGAATCCACAGCCACACATCCACAGCCTTTCCCTCATCCATGATTCCCCGTTCCTGCCTGCTGCAGGGGAGTGAGGAGCCCCCCTGAAGGGAACCCTGAGGGGATGAAGGGGTGACCCTGCAGCTGACTG